GCTGCCCTCGCACCTGCCGGAGGTGGTGGCCGGCCTCAGCTGCGCCTTCATCGTCCTGGTCTTCATCACCGTCTTCCTGGTCCTGCAGCTCCGCTCGGGCTTCAGCTTCCGGGGGGTCAAAGTGTACACCATGGACCGCGGCCTCATCTCCTACAAGGGGCTGCCCCCCGAGGCCTGGCAGGAGTGCCCGTCAGACTCCGAGGACGACGAGGGCCGGGGCGAGAGGACCACCTTTATCAGAGACCAGAGCGTCCTCTGACGAGCGCCCGCCGCCGCCCCTCCGAGCCCACCCCTTCCTCGGGCACTTTTTAATTCACCAAAGTATTTTTTTATCTCGGGACTGGGCTTGGACCCAGCTGGGGAGGCAGAAGGGGCAGGGATGGCTTCCCACCTGACCCTCGGGCCTCCTGGCTGCCTGAGGAGGGGCCCCAGGACCAGCTGGGGGCAGGGGAGGGCCTCCCCCGACCCCCAGCCCCCTCTCTGCAAGGGAAGGAGTGAAACCTAAGGACAGCTTTGCGAGCTGTCCAGGCCTCAGCCGGAGCTCCCTGCGGCGTGAAGAGGGGAAGCCCTTCCCTCGGGGTTCCTGATCCGGTTGCAGCTCCGGCTGCTTCCCTGTCCCTCTAAAGCAATAATGGTCCCCAACCGGGCAGCAGGGAGGCTGACCAAGGGACATGTGAGGAGGAGGCCACCTCTCCAAGGGCTTGCGCATCCCCGACACCGCCCCCACCTCTGATGAGCCTCAGGCAGAAGCAGTGATGGACGGAAGGGACCAAGGCGAGGCAGGTGCTTCCAGGGTGTGTGTGTGTCTGCTCACCACAGCGGGCTGCCCGCTGAGCGAGGCCGGCCCAGCCAAGCCCCACGCTGGCCTGGCGTCCTGACCACCCCCTCCCGCCGGGGCCTGAGTCCCTGTTTTCTGAGCCCGGGGCTGCCTGGGCTGTTGGCACCCAGTCCCGGAGCCCCTGGGTGGGTGTTGGGGAGGGACGGTGGCCCAGCCGGCCTCTCCCGCCTCCCACCCAATGCTGCTTTCCCCTGTGGGGATCTCAGGGGCTGTTTGAGGATATATATTTTCACTCTGTGATTATTTCACTTTAGATGCTGATTTTCTCTCTTTTTTTTTTTTTTTTGTATTTTTAATGGGGGTAGCAGCCGGACCACCATCTCCCCACACCCACTTTCCACCCTGCTATTCTCCCAGCTGCTCTGGCCCAGAGGTGTGGGGGGGGCTGCAGCATGTTGCTGGGGAGTGCGGTGTAGCTGAGCCCCAAGTTCTGAGGAGGCTGGCCGGGGGGGCCCTTGGAAATGGGGATCGCGGTGGGAGGGGCGACTGTTCATGATTCAGATGGGGCTTGCCGTGCCGAGGGCTCATGAGTCACCGGTTCTCCAAGTGCCAGGGGTGGGCAGGTGGCACCGTGCCCCCCTCCAACACTGTGCCCCGGTGGAGAGAGCACTGGCCTGGCCTGCCCCCTCCCCCCCAAGTTCCGCTCTTCTGACGTGCCTTTTGCACCCCTCCCACTCTGAAAATCA